GTTTTACAAATATAATGAATGCAGAGTTCTATGTAGGAATTCTAGAAAAACACATTCCAGAAATTAGGAGACTAATGGGTAGGCACTGGCGGTTTCAACAGGATAATGATCCTAAGCACACCAGTCGTCGTTTATTAGTGAAAATGTTCCAAACCTTATGGACTGGCCAGCCAACAGTCCGATTTAAATTCTATCGTTAATTAATTTAGTACAGTCGATGAAGCGCAGATGTGAGTTAGTTATTGAAAGCAATGGAGAAAGAATATCGTATTGAAATTTTGTTAATAAATCTACTGCATGTTAGCTATCGAATGAGGTATTAATCATGTTGACTGCTATAATCGTTGTTGCACAGCGATCAAATATGTAATTGCCAATAATTTCTTTACACACTTGTATATCGGAAATAACTAATTAATTTAGGCACACTTTAAATTCGTATTAATAATATAATTTAATATTTACAATGACCGAAGCTGATAAAACCGTATCCTATATTACTAAACAAGTATCAGGTAAAAAAATTCAGATTTCCCTTCACCGATTACTGGAGATAGTGAAATCCGAGATTCAGCAAGATATTATAAACGCGATAGCAAACCCGGATATTTCTCGAAGATCATACACCATGCAAGGCTAAAAGAAAGTGCAAAGCTAGAAAAAAACTAATTTTTAATGATACCGCATCTGAGTCCTCGTCCTCGTCTTCATCTGAATCTGAGTCTGACTCTGGATCGTCTAATGATGATAAAGATTTTACTGCGAATATGGTAAGCGTGATTAATCTCGATCATAGATATGAAATGGTCTTGCTTGCTCATAACCCCCCTGGGTCTATAATTGACTACAACATAATGTTGAACTGGAGAAATGAGATTGTCAGGCGCATGACGTAGACATTCCCCAGCTATTGTCATAATATGTCCTGGATTCTCAGCTTTATGTACTACAGCACCATATACCGCTCCCAATTTACGTAAGTATTTAGGAATTAAACCATATTCTTTTAAGAATCTATTGAACCATTTAACTCCTGGCTTACCTGGATTACCAATTCGACCAGAAAATATAGCGTTCTGAATCCAAGTAAGCAATTCCTTAGCTATCCAATCTTTCTTTGACCGATTCTAATGTAAATTCATCAATACGATTGGCTTCAGCCTTTTTCTGATTGTCCCTCTGGATTTTGTTAGCTTCTTCTGTAATATCTGGAAATTTCGTGGCCTCAATTATTTGGAATGAAGCACCAAGATTTTTTAGTTCTCTTCGGAGTCGGGAAAGACGTGATGAACCAGCATTGGCGTTTTTTGCTGATAGGGCTAAGGCATAAGCTTCAGCTCTTATATCCCGAATACTAAGCTTATCTCGTAAACGCCGATGCGCCATCTCTCCAATTGTCTGCCCCTCTATTCTTTTTTGGGGTTTGTTGGAAATTGCAATATTTAAGGTTTTACCAGAAATACTCCCACATTGTTTATTTGTCTGAATTGTGAATAAGGCATTTACTTGATCCTTACTAAACCCATATCTATTTTGTAAGATTCGTTTTGTTATTTCTCTGATAATCTCCTCTTCCAAATCTTTGGGGGGCGAAGCTATAGCTATTTTGCAACTACCCTCGATAACATTTATAATCTTGGCCTTACTACCTCTCTGATTAGGTATTAATACACTTACCTGATAACTGCTAAATTTAAAGCCATCTCGAAGACGTCGTCGGAGCTTGATTCCGCTTTCTGTCATCGGTAAGGTTTGCAAGAAATTCTGAGGTGTATTGACTGAGTTCGGTCACACTCATCTCAGAGCTGAGATTGTATTTTTCTACGATTTTAGTTGCGATAGCTGACATGATTGAATGTTATAGTAGGTTGGGTAGGTTATGAACAGTTCTTTAGGTTACACTATAGAAAATATTTTTTCAAATCGAAATTAATTATCCGAGTCAATATATCTAGTATTTACCCAAAAAAGTGAATGGGTGTCAATTATTGTAATTCTATCAGAAAATGGACGCAAATAAGACACGAAATAGATCGAAGATTTTGGCATCCATAGCTCTACGAAATAAAATCACTAAAAATATCAATGAGATCAAAGAGGATATCGCATTACTTAAAGAGGTTTTGGAAAAAATAATTGATATATACCAGGGACATGATACACGTTAATGTCTTAGATCGATCCAGGTTATAATCAAGTTTTATGTAAAAAGACCTTGGCATGATTCGACACTTACTAATGTGGGTAGATTAGAACAACAAAACAAGGATTTAAAGCAGCAACTAGCCAGTGCTAAGGAAGAAATCAGTTCTCACTTGAAAGCCTTAGATGTTTCAAAGGATTGACATGATAAACAAAAGCAAGAATTATTAGATAAAATTCAAAGGCTTGAAAGTGAAGTTGAATTTTTAAGAAAACAGCAGACTCAACACGTTGCTCAAATTGAAGTTAAAGAAAATAAAAGATGACCTTGATTGAAATTAAATATAAAAAAGTAATTTTTGTAAATACTTCTAATAGTGCTGTAATTCTTGGGTTCCATGGTGGATTTAATGTAAATTAGTTTCATATTAATATTTTTATATATAGTAATAGAGGTAATCCTATATTAATCCTGTTATGGTTTATATTTATCACATTCTGGTATGATAAAGTGAGCATTAAAATCAACAAGGCAAAGCATCATCAGTCATACTGGTCAACCTTACAGCCACATCCTAATCAGCCTCTCATTTATTATTATAGAATGTTCACTTTGTCTGGTTTTGTTGCAGCATGCCCCATATTATTATGGACCCTTCCACTTGTGTCACATTTGAAATCACGTTACTTTTGAATATTAATATTCCCCTGAAATTTCGCGCATGGTTTACTTTATATTTAATACAACTTTCGTTATGAGAAACGACACTGATCCGGAAGCCAGAATAATCGAAAGATGCAAGGAGTACAAAACAAGCTTCAGTTATGACGGTGCGCGTGGCTTTATTGTTATTACGTTGAAACTGTTGCATAGAACCGAGCTCTGACATAAAGGAAAATCAATGAATATTGTAGATTTGTACGAAATAGGTTCGCTTGCAACCTGGTCGCTTTCGAGTTGGAAGCCAGGAAATGATTTGGAAAACCTGAGAGATGATGAGCTCAGTACTTATTGGCAGTAAGAAATGAATTAAGTTTTATTTTCTTAATCTGTCTTCTGATTTAGCTGTTAACGTGACAGAATCAACTGGTGAGTTTTTAAAATAGATCAGACGGAACACAGCCTCACCTCGTGAATATACAATTTTCGAGGAAAGTCTTTGTTTCGGTATGTTCACGATTTATAATACACCTTTCTGTTGATTTTAATTAAGATATTCTGATCACCATTTCGTGAATACAGCAAATCTCTTTGCAAATCGATCATAAACAAGATGAGAGCTATACTCCTAGCAAGATAACAATCAGAGCAGGGACTAATTTTGCTGATCTTCAAGTGAGCGGGATCTGCTTCGTTTAAATCGAACTTTTTACTTGTTGGCATGTAATTTCATGAATATTTTGAACCCAAGGATCTTAGAACCCTGGAATTATCTGAACCAACTGGTTGGATCGACATACAACTGAGCCCCGATCTGATGAAGTATGTTACTTATATTATGTTCTTGTGCATCCGCATTCCTTTAACGCAATTTCGATTTGCAGGAATCGTCCTATCGGTGCCCATCTCTTTCAAATTTGTATAAAATCCAATCACCAGAATGGGAAGGATACGCGTATACGTCAGATTAAAGTGTTTGCGCCGAAACTGTACGTTCAAACATTCGGAATATTATATGGGGTTATTTGGATGTTAGCTGATTTATTCTTATTAACGAATCTCCCACACACACACCCCCTTCTGATACGCACAGGAGAAGTGTTGTTCAAGATGACTTGGACTCTGACGACGAGATGCCATCCCGAACAATCGAATTCCAAATGCATGCAACTGTACGATGACATTGACAACGTTTGAATCATATCTAAAAAAATACAGAAAATTCATTAATGATACAATGCTGAGGAAGAAAAGGTTTTAATAACAAAGCAAACTTTGTGATTCGATAGCGTGAGACATGCTAAGTTAATCTGGACCCTATCACTTTAAGAAGTGTTATACTTGATGACATGAGGGATAAGATAGGAGAATGATACAAACTTTGTGATCAGAAGAAGCACCCATGTACATTAAACTCGAAGTATGAAAACGTTTTAATAAATCGTAGATGCAAACTCTTTCATTGAGATTTATGTCCTTTGTTATCGCCGAGCGTTCAAACAGAACACTCATTGGGAAATGGTAATATGGACAAAGTGCCAGATAATAAAGAGTTTATTTTACAGAACAACACGCTTGAAGCATGTAATACAGAAAGAAATGTGTTGGTAACAACGCGCTGATAAAAGGCCTGAGGAAGACTTGCAAGTTATACATAGGCAGACTCGATAAGTCGCTCGACATATGTAAAGTCGCGATAAGTCTTACGTAATGTCAGTAGGCGCTTTAACGTTTTAATCTGATTTCGTTTTAATCATTCATTCGATTTAAGTCTAATTATAGAAAATACCCGCCTGCTGAGATAGGATACTTTAAACTTTGATCGATTCAGGAACACGGAACTGAGATTCCTACTTTGAATATTTTATACGCAATCGACTGGGTTGCAAAATTGTGGAGAAATGCGACTGAAAATATAATATACATCGTGTAACGAAAAAAACGACGGTGACAAATCCTTGCATTCTGAACAAAAGCACAGCAGATATTTAAATAAAAACTTGATGTGTGAAAGCCTCAAAGGTGGGTTATTAACTGTAATTCTATCATAATCGAGTCATATCCATGTTTCATAGACTGCAAAAATTAATGTTTTAATAAGATTGCTTTCCCTTCCTCAATTTAAAATGCTTAATTCTTAATACCTTTATTCTCAAGGTTGAAAACTATTTACTGGTCAGTCAATTGCATTAATTTTTTTTGCTACCTGAGATATGGTCATTACCGAGGCAGAATATTACGGTACGTTGTGTAGTAACAAAAATGACAGTTGCTATGAAGGCTTTATCAAATAATAAATAATTATTTTAGGTTAACATCCTGCACCCAACATGCAATCGTTTATTAATCAAATTGTTGTTAATTATGCCGTTATGACAATTAACAAGCAATGTTTCTGATGATAATATTACAATTATTACAGCTGTTTTTGAGAGAATGAAGTAGGGGAAAATAACATGGTGGCGCTCATGCATAGCTTGTGGACCCGTCAGCATCATACCAGAATGTAGCTAACATTAAACTTGGCACAAAAATAAATATAAATTTTAATAAAATATTATATACAAAAATTACAGCACACTTGGAAGCATTTTAGAAAAAAGAAGGCTCCTTATGCTTTTAAAATAAACTCTTCGGGACTATTTGGATAAGAAAGAGTTACTTGTGAAATTTACAAAGAAGTAAATTATCTAAATTTTACTCGTGATTTGAATTCTAAAAAAAACACAACAACCTAAGTTTAAGACTATCAACAAATAAGAACAGATTCATAAACTTTCAAATAGCTAAAATTGTCTGCCAAAAAATTTTTTCCTGATTTTGGCCAAATTATTCGGCTGAATTAAAAAAGAAGGAAAAGAAATTTACTAAATTTAGAAAAAAATTTTTATCGTGCGCGTTAGATGGTTTATGCAACGACGGTGACGGACAAGAAAAAAAAGGGGCCTTGAGCAAATAAATGCTGGTTGTCCGCAAGTCCGCATGGTAAGCCGTTGTGTCGCATCTCCTAAAATATACGTTTTCGCGGACGTGAGCTCTCCCTCAACAAGCGGATAAAAGCCAAACCTATTATAATTAAATTACTATGCCAACACGCTTACTTTTAAAAGAATACCGTTTGATCCTTCCGCACGCACGGGTCGTATGGCAACCATGCTGACTAAGTCCTTTGGGCTTTCTTACTTTACTCTACTTTACACATTCAGCCTTAATTATTTTCCTCTAATATATCTTGGGTGGTGTAAGTTTTACCCCCTGCTTTTTTATCTTCCTTCCAAATAAAGCCATTTTTTGCTGACAAGAATTTGCCTCATCGCGAAGCCGCCAAACTTGTCCCATCCTCGTAAACACAAAAACTCGCGCATGAGTTTGACGTGGTAGACAGAATGTATATTTAACGTGTCACCGTTTATACGTGTAAATGAGGGTAGCTGTATGCAAACGTGGTAAAATGACAAGGAAAATATGAAGAAATCCATTTAATGTGCTGTCACCTCAACCTGATAAGATGGGGCAACGTCTAAAGCGGCGAAGAGCAACACAGCTAAAATAAAATCTCAAGTGACAAGTGACAAATATTAATTGCATCGATTATGTCTGTCTGTCTGAGTTCACGGATGGCTAATCGATCTCTACGAATCCAGTAGTTAATCATTTGCAATGACGCGATGTTTGAACAAATTCCTGTAAGCTTTAAACTAAATGTTGATTAACAAATTAAAAACTCATCAACACGGAGATTTTTGACCAAGATGCCATTAATTCAATTGAACAATAATGCCAAACAGTTATTAGCAACAATTAGCGAGTATTTCACACAGCATGTTTGTTTTTAGGTTTTAGCAAGAACGTTCGTTCTATCTTCCACATTTCATCCTTAAAAAAATTTTCCACGCATTTATTCTCCTGTTATGGAGAAGTCATTTCTTGCAATTGAAAGAGTTTGCTTTTCTTGAAGTTAGTGTCAAGTTTGCATACAGTTTATAATGCATCAAGGCATTTTTTTCCATAGCTTAGCTTTCTCCCATAGTAGGCAATTGTTGTGTAACGGTAGCAAAAATTTCTGTTCATCGCGTATTCAAAGACGAATTTCTATCATTCTGTTCTAGTTATTAATACAACGTCAATATGGGTAGAACAAAACGGCTGTCGAACAGGGTCAGATCTTCTCCATTGCCTGCTGCAGATCAGGAACAGTTAGAGGTCATAATACCAGTTATTGACAAGGTGAGCGTTAATTCTTTTTTTACACGCATATCCATTTTTATGATCAATCGGTTTATTATGAGTAGTCTAATAACATAACTAAATAAAATTTCGATTTTTTTCTATGCAGCTCTCATGCCCTAATGCAACGGAAAGAGCGTGGGCAGCAGCGTGCGTGTCCAATCTCGTGACGACTAATGAAACAACCAGAAAGCTGTTGCTATCAAAAGGATTAACTAAGAAATTAATCGATCGTCTAACAGACAACGTTCATGGTGTTGTTGTTGAGGCCGTTGGAGCATTGAGGTACGCTTGTAACAAATATATAACTAACAGTGTTTTTTTTGTATACAATGACTGGAACTCTCAAATGTGATCATGTAGAAACTTGGCAGTGACGTGTGGAGATGATGCATGTATTGAACTTTATAATGCTGATGTGTTGACACCATTGATGGCTCTAATGTCTCAGGTGGGCATTATCAGAAAGTATGTAACATACACAGCGAATCAAGACTTACATATAGCTTCGCTCTTTCGTTTATCAGACCTCTACTGCAATTGAAAAATCATTATTAAATGTCGACACCCAATCTACTAACGATCAGATCGATAGCGTGGTCATTGATCCAAAATGCGCTTGGGATTTGGCGGAAAATATAATTTATATCATATCGGCACTATGGTTAGTATGTCCTTAATCGATATCAGATTATTTATAAATTCTTAAATGAAATTCATACTTGATTTTTTAAATGTAAGCGAGTCGTCATCGCACGCCCTTGTTGCGGTTAATAATATGAATATATTACCCTTCCTCATGAGCTTTTTTACGCAATCTAATAAGATACCCGTTAAACCGGTTCTGGCTGCAGGTAGCATACAATTCGATGAGTTTTGCTCTCATCCATTACTCTATGCTTTTTTATGCTTATTTTTACTTATCGCATTTGTAGCCCAGTGTCTATATACCATAACAGACGAGTATGAGGACCTGTGTATGAGGTTCAACGATAACCCTCAATACGTAAATCTATTGTCGAGTGTAATTAATACTGCAGAACGCGATTACGTCAAACCTCAACAATATGACGAGTATATCTGGCTGCTTGTCAGAGTTCTTGCATGTGGTAACTAAATCACCAAGTCTATTGATATTGACCAAACATCTAATAAGTATTTTACTAATTTACTTGATATATTTTTACACAAAGGTATTTTATCGAATCTTGGGCCAAAACTACAAAGTTCTGCAATTATCGGTGATGCAACAACAGAAATAAAAAAGATGACTCTTCCGCTATTGCTGTCGTGCTTAGATATCGATTTACAGCAAATAGCGTCAGAAGTTGTATCAGACGCGCTAGAGGCAGCCAGAACGGATGCTAATTTTATTATTACAAGCAATAATGTAAGCATCTCGGACTATGTAATAGTGCGTTATGTATGCGCTTTAATAAACAATTTTTTTGTATGCCCAGAATACTGAGGTGACGAGAGAAGAGTCATCGACGTCCGCAATGGATTTAGAAAAACCAAAATCATGCGACAAACTTTTTGTAAGAATCGAATCTATATTTCAAATTACTTGACAATAACCATGATAGTAATGGCTACTATTTTGTAATTATACTTAGGAAAAACTGGCTGCCATTGAGACGAGGTTGACAATTACCCAACGCGCACTCGAACTGGTTGCTAAAATATGTTCCGAGAGCAGCCCAAATGGTAATAATATAAATCATGATTCCTCTATTTCCCCGATATTTTTTATTGAAAATTTGTCAACGGTAAAACCTCTTCAGCTGATGAGGATAGCTGGAATCCATCAGATGACGAGAATGAGGAGCAACCACAGGATAATGATGATGCAATGTCAACAGACTCGATAAAATCCTCCGCATCGGTTTCAAGAGTTCTACTCGACTCCGCTACTCTTGATACCAATTATTCTCGAACACTCACCGATCTTTCTTCGGCATCTTTATCAATATTCACGACACTCGCGCATGATCTTACACCTAAATTAATTGCTCTGTCGACGCCAACATCCATATCATTCTCAGACACTGCCCCAGATGCCGTTCGCATCCATCATCGGAAGATAATCACAATGATGTCAACGACTCATCTGAGAGCTGTGGAGTGTTTGAACAATTTCCTGTTAACTGTAGTTGAAGTCGTAGGAGGATTAAAATGGTTTGAAGAGAGGAAGTTTGAAATAGAGGAATTATGGGTCTGTTTGATTCAAAGGTTAAGAGAGTGTATTGGTGGGAGAGATAGCCTCGAGAAGGTGCTGGGCGCTACGAAGGAAAATGAAGACATGCAGGGAGAGTGGCTGGAAGAAAGAAGGAATTTGATTGAGACTTTGATTGGATGCGCGTGGAGCGTTGCTAGAGGACTCAAGGGATATGTGGTGAGTAACAGATTTTTGCGGCTCATGCACTGTAAGACTTGCTGACTGTTATAAATGACTTTTTATAGCCCGTCTCGGAAAGTGAAATAAATGAATTTGTAAATTGGTATTTGATCACGAGATCCGATAGTTTGAGAGTAAAGATTATTGGCACTTTGGGTACAATAGCGAGAAGACAAAATGCTATTGAGGCTAACAGAGTAAGTGTAATAATATCAATATGGTAGCAATGCTACCAGCATTATCCTCTCGAATGAAGAAGTTTATACGTCGAAAATTTTATACCCTCATTTCTTTTGCAGGTGATTGGAAACTTCCTTATAAGCGTTCTCCAGTTACTTTTAACCGATGGGTCAACACCTACCGATTGTGCTGTAGAAGCGTTGAACGCAATATATGATATATATGCTGATATTGAATACGACTATGATAGACCGGTCTTCATCGATGGAGGATATCTTGAAGTTTTAAAAGGATTGGTTGGAACTGTTAGCAAAATGGTAAGTGTTTTCTCTTTGAATAAGATCGGGGCTCTTGGATCAACGTAGGTTGGTATACTAAATCTGAATTTCCATATTATTTTAAGGCTAAATCAATAGATAAACGAAAGGCTCGCGATCAAAGACTTCGCGCGGATGAGGCTTATGAGAATCTGATCGCTTTCATAAAATATAAAGAAAATGAGAGGAACACTGCATGACATTTTGTGTGTGTGATAGAGGAAAAAATTTTTTTGAATAGTTTGATAGATACTTTGACGGTATTGAGTATTTAATTCAGTTATTTTTGCGGGTAGGGAGTTTTGACTTTATAATAATTTAGAATATTTTGCAAATATTGACATAATACAAAATAGTGTCTGCTTTCAAAAGTATGTCTTCTTCAATAAGTTAAAGTCTAGCTAAATATTAATTATGATATATCGGGAGTGGGTTGCCATGCAAAGTCCATCAGTGAGATTAAAAATTATATCTATTTTTGACGTCTATTTTTATATTAAATCTATATGGATATACTTTTGTCTTGTTTAAAAAAATCACAAATTTCATTTTGTCTCAGTTATACCGAGTCTTATGGCTTCGTCTTTGCTCTTCGGGAATACTTCATTCAATAACACTTCCTTCTCTGAACGAGTCAAAGCTCCCAGTACGTACGAGGACACAACCTCATGTGAACGATCATCGGTATGACTTGGTGGTCTGCCAATGCCTATCCGTAACCTATGGAATTTCTATATCGAAAGTATATATAGAGCTTGCTTAGCACATACTCAAGTTAATAATTTAGGAAGGGACTCAATTATTGAATTTGGTGGCTTACATCGGATTTCAAACATTCTATAATCGATTTTATTCCATTGTGTCCGCTGAAACGTTAAAACACTTCGTTAGTGCGAAAGAAATAACATAATCGATTGCTTGCGATCACTTACTTGGCACTTCCTCCGTACTTGGGACTGAATTTTCCAAGTTCTCGCTGCATATCATCATGTATTACGATGATATTTGATGGAGAAATGCGGAGGCTCCTCACTATATTGGAAATTGGTTTGTTAATGGGTGGACAATCATATAATGACGCCTCTTAGGTCTATCGGACAAAAATTTGATAATCAATAGATAAAGCATATTAAAAATATTCTATGAAAGTCACAATAATTTTTGTATCATTTTGAAGCTAATTAATAATATATTAGCAAAATAAAGCTCCAATCGAATAAGTTAGAAATATAAAAGTATACATATCATCTTCATTTCAATGCCTTATTCTCAATTAGCTTCAAAACGATACAAAAGTTGTTGTGATTCATTATATACGTTCTGCCCATTCCGAGAGTGCAAATCTTTGTACGGATTTTCTTTAAGGACTTGAGCTCTCCGCAAGAATTGCATTCGCCGTAGAAATATACCAATAGCGAGTGTCGCAGCCCAAATCCCAGAATGACCAGAACATAATGTATGAATAAACAAAGATTTTTTATATGTTTGTTCGATACCCGTCCAATAAGTGTATAAAAATAGGTTGATAGTTACCCGCTTTGCCAACGGATTTTCCACTTAGATTCATCAGTAAACCAGGCTTCATCAGGGTCAACTCCAGCCTGATAGGTTCGACTTTTAGCCGTTCTACGTTGCTGTTTTTTTGTGTTTTGATCCCGATCAATTCCTTCTCATCCCCATTCTTATTCCCATTCTCATCTTCGTAATTGTTCCCTTTCTCCTCTTTCATGTCATTATTGTCTAACGCTACATTCTCAATACTATTGTTCTCAACTTCTTTGTTACTCTCTTGCAAGTCCTTCATTCGATCTGTTTTCTTCTTTTTTTGCTTTTTTTGTTTTATTCGCGGAGGATCAATTGATAATGTAGTAGATGCAACGTTGGCAATAATATTCTTATCGCGAGTCCATTTAAGTCCTAATTGTTCTGCTATGTAATCCAATGCCAGGAAGCCCACGCTGTGACGAGTATTAGGATGAGTATGATTACCGAGTCCTACCAACTATAATAAATGACAGTCATTTAATATTTCAGGATGTTTCACATTATAACCTTTCTCTGTCTTCCATGGCTTACCAATATTCTGCGCACGTCCATGACGGATATACCAAACCCACAGTTGATGAGAAATGTCATCCAACGAAGGTTATTGAATTATATAATGATCTGAAATGTCTATAAAAAGTAATGACAATTTGAGCAAGTATCACAACTGCGCTTTGAGAAAAAAAATTACGTCATTTCCGCAGCTCTGTAGATCGCGTTTCACAATAACTAATAAACTGCCTAAAACGTCAAATACAGCCTTCCTCTTTTGTATTGGACAATACTACGCGTTGTATATGGTATTGTTGTACAACGAGTGCGTTAATTGTGCGACAACATTCCTCATTGTCAATTTTTTTTATACTCACAGTAAATTAATCGAGGATAAATAGTCAACAAACATTCACCAGTGAAATTTGTGCTTCTCCACTTCTTACTAGTACAAGAGGGCTGTAACTTTGCTGTAAATAAACCACGACATCAATCCCCTAATTGTTCCAATCCCAAATTCATTGTTCGGTTCCACTCTTCCTTGATGGTTCTGTCCTGTAAAAATTCTCAAAATGAGTCAAGAAATAAATAAAGAACCAATCATCGGCGCCATAAGAATCTATTTTGCGGATGACTATTTCTGGGCTCTAGATGTCGAAGCCCTGTCAAAATGGCTGGAAACACAGAGTCTGATTATCAGCCCAGATGATTTACATGAAATCCTACGACTATATACTGACGAATTCGAGTTAAACGAGGAAGACGATGGCACTGTCATGGTTAAACGGAAGAAGAAAGAGACTGACGGAGGAACATTACCTGATCGTATGGGAGAGGGCTATAAAATTCCTCGTGATACGGATGATGATGAGCTAGATGATGATCTAGAAGACGATCTGGAGGATGACAATGATATTGATAGTGATGACAGCTTAGAAGACGCGTCAACGAGACCTGCTAGAAGCGCTGAGAGTGGATCACGTTATGGTATGAGTACATTTGGTATGACAAGAACGACAGTACACATTAATTGATGCTCACATCTGCAATACTCATGAACCGATACTTATACTCACTATCTTACATTCTGTCATACATCAGCTGTTGCCATAGCCAGAAAATACCTTGAAAGCACTTATGCCGAGACAATTTACGAATTAGAGAAACATCTTAATTCACAGAAATGCCTGACTGATCAAACAATTGGAGAATTACTTCGCGATAATAGGAACATATTCGAGGTCTTCACCGACAGTGGTGTCACTTGTGTAAGGCTTGTGAGAATGGCACATATGTTTACAAAAGATACAAAAACAATGGCAAAGAGTAGAATCACTCAAACAGAAAGACTACTCGTTGACTATTTGACAAAACATGGCGGGTTACAAGGAGGCGTAGCATTACCTGAGCTAATAATACATCTTAGAAGTTTCCGCAATGCTATTGCAGACGATATAGAAGACTTTTTAAGAGGATGCAAGTCTTCCTTCGAATGTCTCGAATCGGGAGGGATAACATACATTAAAGTACTGCCAGGCTCTAAAGCTCAGACCATCCAGCCACGTATTCCATATAGCAGGCAAAGATCTGGTAAAGAATATCTCCTCCGTGTTGTACGCGAATGTCTTGTTAAGCATGGTTTACTGACCGTTGCCGAACTGGAAAAAATGCTGACACCTCACATACCCAATCCGCCTATGAAATTCTCTGAAGTAATCGTTAGATACAGAAGAGAATTCAAGACAATGCGAGTAGGAGATGACATAATGGTTAGACTCAGTACGACTGATGAGAACACCTTGATGTACATCAAGGTGTTCCTAATGGAAATGGGTCCTTCCAAGTTGTCTTCTTTAGCAGATTATTTGAAACGAGAAGGGTTTACACCAAGGGTTAGAATGAAAGAGTTCCTAGCCGGACTTTCCGAATTTAAGTTCCGAGACATGCAAGGAAACCTAGGCGTTCAATCAACAGAAATTGAACTCGCAAGAAGGGCTAGAAAGTTTCTTCGTGATAAAGGGACAGTAAGAGTTTCTGTTCTGCGTGACTATCTTGGCAAGCACAGTCTCCCACCTAGGACAAAACTAACTGACTTCTTGGAGAAATTCCCGGAATTCACTTTCTCTCAAGCAGCTTCGGACGTATTCGTCTCACATCAGGTATATCCTCCGGATATAGTACCAGTTGATTTCATACGGAAATATCTTCTTGTAGAGAACAAACCAGCTGAAGTGTATGCGTTGACGACTCATTTGAATTGGAATGGAAAATATCCGGAATATAAAGTTATAGAAATCATAAAAAATCATAAAGAGTTTACGCTAAGCAAATTATCAAATCAGTGGGTGGTTCGTTTTGTTGACGGATATAAACGTCCAGTAGTCGAAAAGATGGAACAATCAACGTTTGAAAACTCTGAGATGGGTAGTCCAAGTAACAGCCAGGGAGGCGGTAGTAACACCTCGATGACTATTCCCAACACTAACGGCGATGAGTTAACAGACTTTGCAAGCAATCGCAACGTAACTACTCCACGAAAAACAGATTCAATCGTAACTAATCAACCTTTTCATTCCCAAATTCCTCCCTCAAGCTTGACGAATTATTCTTCTACTCATTTTGATTCATATGAGACGGCTAGTACGCGTTCCGCGGGAGGAACAAGCTACTCTCCACATATGTACCCAGCTAAGGTTCCAGGCGCACCTTCATCGTCAGATACTAATATTCGATCAGCGGGATCGAGCGGCACTATTACGAGTCGAACAATTCCAGAACACGTAAAAAGGGTTGAAAGCTTTGAAGATACGGACAGTTCCAGTATTGAACTTGACAATGTAAAGAGAAGTGAGCACGAAGATGCGGGGACAAAAGGGGAAAGAAAAGGGAAACATAGAACGCAAGATTCAGATGACGTTGGTGTGGAGTCCTTCTCTCCTTATACGAGAAAGGGTCCCCAACCGTTTACGTATGCACAATGTCAATTCAATCCTCACGCCCACACATTTCCAACTTCTACACCTACTTCGCGGTCATCATCTTTCCATTATCGTGCCCCTCTTTTGTCCCAGGAAGTTCTACAGTCCCACCTTTCCTCATTTTGTAATTACACGCAATTTTCTACGTACCCCGAACCTACATATTTGAACTATTCTGTTCCGTGTAATACCGTGTTAATTGGAGATAGGGGGTCGGGAATGGAACATACACTATTAGTGGTATTGGAGGGTTGTGTTATGGGTAAACCAGAGATTGTAAAACCAGAGATTGTAAAACCAGAGACAATAACTTGTCCACTGATATTAAGATATGATTCGAGTGGACTGGAATCTCCGTGTGTGAGTTCTTTTGTAGGGAACCGGTTTAATGTTGGAATTGATGAGAAAGTAGGTGAGGAAGAGAATGTAGGCAGTGATGAGAAAGAGGAGAACGAAGATGCTGAAATTGTTGAGAAGAGAGATAACAAGGAGAACGTGGAAATGAAAAACGATAACAAGGAGAACGAAGATGCTGAAATTGTTGAGAAGAGAGATAACAAGGAAAACGTGGAAATAAAGAAGGATAACGAGGAACATGAGGAAATTAAAAACGATAACGAGGAAAATAAGAAATGGAAAGATAATGAGGATTATGACAATGATGAGAAGATCGAGGAAGAAACAAAGAAGATCGAAGAAGCGAAGGAAGATTATGAGAATGCAAATGAAGAAATGAAAAGCAACCAACAGGACGAGAATGATCAAGAAATAAACGAAGCTACGGCCGTGAAGAAGATTATATTTGTTACACCATCATCCTTGAAAAAAATGAAGAAGGTATATCAAGACATACCAAACTGTGAAGTGAGGCCATTGATTTTCCTGGAGGAAGAATTGACCAAAGATGATGTCAAAGTAATTGGTGAACATTTTCTATTATACATTTTCCCACTTGCTTATTTACCTCATAATATTGCGTGCGCACGTTTGTTGCTGTTCCTAACATGTACCATTGAATTTTAAGACGTTTTTCCCCCCCTACCCTCATCTCTTTTATCTTTCTACTCAAATTTTGCATTAACAATGACTTTGAATTACTGCAGGCATGGATGGAAGCTAATCCTGATACAGCGGTCGCCGTCGAGTGTATGGAACTAGTGGAGGAGATTCTTTATGAGAGTGGAGACTCTGAAGCATTTAGCTTCTCCGAATTTGCCTTGCAATTGGCGGCGAAGGATTGTTCAACGCCTCGCGTCAAGCAATGTATTGGCAATAGAATTCGTCGCTTGAAATCGTTCTTTGAGAAACCCAATGACAGACATGATGCTTTCAGTGAAGCTTTTCAACCAGGGGATATCGTCATTGTTGATTTGAGCGATTACATCGTAAGAGCAGCATTGGCATCTGTATTGTTTAGGATTGTGGTTGGTATCTACACACGATTAAATTTCAGCGATGATGATACGAATGTCGGGAAGATGTTAGTGCTAGAAGAGGCAGAAAACGTAAGACAATTAATTTGGTGAACCGAAAAGTCCGTGCATAATCCTTTCCACGCTAACACTTTTTCCATTCACATTTACGCTATCAGTATCTTACACCGACTTCACCTCTAACACCGAGAATCCAGCAAATCCAATCTCGCATACATCACTACAAAACCAATATGCTAATCTCCACATCTAATCCAACTTTACTACCTCCACTCATCTTTCAACAGTCGCATTTCTTTATATTTCATTACTTCTCGTCTCCTTACTGGTCAGAATTCCTTACGACTCATCTGTCACTACTAGGAGGAAATGCTGACCGGTTGTCGAGGAATACGCAGAAGTTATGGAGCCCGCGACATGCTTTTGTACGTGGTTGGATAGCGCAAGCAGGTAAAAGTGAGCAGGATGGTAGGGAGGCTTGCATTGAGACTATTGTCGAGATTAGAGAGTCTTACTCGGACAATACAACTTATAAAAGATAATTGTGTTGCAACAATTGATTTATTCGAGGATTATGTAATGACTTTAACTTAATCAGTAAATATGTGCTCGCGTTGTTAAAAATTGAAGGCCTGTTCAGAGAAGTTTATTTTTTCCGATAATTTCTTAATCACAAGTGGTTGGATCCCAACCTGTTCGTCGTGAAGGCTTTTCATTAACAATCGGTTTCCCCAAAGAAGTTCAAATTTACAGGACTTGTATCCAACCTACCTGTTACGAAATTTTCATCCAAACTATCGAGGACTTCCATATCAGCATCATCAAGGTGAAAATTAAAAACGTCGGCATTGCTCTTGATTCGCTCATTATTTGTACTTTTCGGCAAGCTCACAAAACCATGCTGGAGACCCCAACGAACTAAAATTTGCGCTGAAGTTTTGTTGTATTTTTGCGCAAGTGAGACGAGATTGGCATCGTCAAGCCGTTGAGCTTTTGCTAATGGTGAGTATGCCTCAACGACAATAGAATTGGCTTCGCAAAAATCAGTCAATTCCTGTCGGCGGCACCATGGGTGCACCTGGTGATGGGTTCCTCATTAATAAAGAATATAATAAACCTTGTCTAATCTACATGACAAACTAATACGCAGCATATAATCATTACGACACTCGTGTATACCAATAAATACCTCAATCTGATTAACCGCGGGTTTAATCTCTGGATGCGTCTCGAATAGTTCTCTCAAATGATGGATACCGTAGTTAGATACTCCAATGCTTTTCACCTTACCCGATTTGACCAATTCTTCTAAAGCTCGGTAACTTTCCAGTCGTTTCTTCTTTCCCGGCAAAGGCGAATGTAATAACAACAGATCAATGTAATCGGTTTTGAGCCTAGCCAGCGATAGGTCGGCCGCTGCGAGCGTTTTTTCGTAGCCTTGGTCAGAGTTCCAGATTTTGGTCGTTACAAAAATTTCTTCACGCGGAGGACTATCCCATTAAAGTTATATCCAAGAGAATGTAAATTGACTTTAATCGTTTACACTTTGCAAGTGTCATGCCAAAAGTGTCGAAAACCTACCGGGTTAAGACAGCTTCGCCAACGTCAGCTTCATTTCGATATAAACTTGCAGTGTCTATGTGACGATATCCAGCCTGGCATATAACGCCTCAGTATGTTGGCGATATGCTACTTGTATCTACTCGTATCTCTAGATTCATCCTTACCGCAAGAGCAGCTAACACGGCGTTTTTAGTAACATCACCAGGTGGCGAAAGATAGACACCAAGACCTTGAATGAAACGAAAAGAAAAAGAAATTGTACATTTTCAAATCTTATTAAAACAATGATATAATAATTAGTTGTTTACCAAGAAGAGGAATTTCGCGCCCGTCGTTAAGTCTAGTTGTAGAGTTGATGGATAGTTGATTCTCCATTCTCGGTTCTGTGAAGATCTTTCATAAAACATAAAGATTAAGAAATGCAAGCATCAGCATCCGAAAATGGAAATGAATTATAAGTAACATTACTAGTATAATCACACACAAAGCTGCACACTCACATGTGTGAAAAGTGAAGCAATCACTGGTCTTGTTACCTGCAAGATAGTCCAAGCTTTTCTTTATAACATCACATAAATTACATGTCTTCAACCGGCGAATGACACAGGGTAAATTTTGCATCATTTCTCAGGTGACTGAAACGGCGATAATTAGATATCTACAGCGATGTTTACCTTATTACGAAATCTATATCTATATATAATTTAAAAAATTGGATGCTACGGACATTGCATATTAATATTTGTTACAAAATTATCCATCATTTCTTTGTTTACACTCGCGACGTTTTTTTATTATTTATTATTATGATTATGGATAACGTCAGCGAAACCAATATATTGAACTTGCTAATGGGACTGTATATTTCTGTATCGGAGGTATTATCGATTTTCAAGCCTCGCCTATAATATTACAATTAGCACCGGAATCTAGTATAACTGTTACTGGTACTTTATAGATAAAATTTATTATAAGTGTATAAACTCTCTTTGAGCATTCTAGATTCAGACCAGGTATTCTCCATAATTAGCGCGCCGAGCATGCACTGCCTTCGCCGGAGGGATGTAAGGATTAAGAAACTGTTCGCGAAGTATTGGATCAATTGGAACGTAAGGGGCACCAGGTATTTCATCATTGAGATCCGACAGTTGCTGATTTGTATACTCTTTTGACTCAAACTTCTTCACTTTCTCATCGTATATTAGTACCCATCTTTTTCATGGCCATCACCCGCCTCATATTCTGCCACTGCATTTTCTTCTTTTTCGCGTTCCTAAGAACAGAAAGAGCATTGAAACATGCCTTTGTCGAGACTGTCGTAGAATTAAGCATGTATTCCCTGTCACCTTCGAGAACATTACCAAGATCATCGGTAACAGCCCAGAAGGGAATGTTTGGACGTACAGCTTCCAGAATTAGGGGGAACCCTTCAAAGATAATGACCAAAAGCATACTAGTCGCATCGCAAAAAACGTGCTCCGAGAATAGAGACTGGGAACTTCCAACTAGAAATCTCTGGTTTTGGTTAGATGTAAATCGAAAATCTGTGTTGGCGTTTTTTGATTGGCTGTAGTTTTCATATGTGTAATAGTGATTACATACAGTATATACTAATACTAACACTTTTGGCGGATAACAGGTTCGTTACAATAAGTTGTGTAAATTTATCAGTATTTTGTTCGAGACTACAGCCAATTAGCCTCAGAGCGATATAAAAATTTTGTTGTTTACTTAGCAAATAACGCCAATACAGATTTTCGAAAAAAAAAATATATTAAAATTTCCATATGACTGTACCTGAAAATTGCGATCATCAAATTATTTTGACTGCCACACGCGTAATTCGCGCGAATAAACGCTCAACCAATAGAGCGGGTTGCTTTACTAGTTTTTAATGTCTATGATGACAGCATGCGATTATTAAACGAGTGCTTCGAAAGCATAAATTCGGATCCAATAAATGTACTTACTGCAAATACGGTCCAGTTATTTGTGCCATTCTTATTCGTATTCCGATTATGTTGGTAAATTAAAATTGTTTAATAGTTTTATCTTCAAATTGACTAGTGTAGTAAACTCTTAATGAAGACCATGGTGATTTAATATATGCATGCGTTCTTAGTAGAAGTTGATTACATGAATGACGTTCAACCTCTAAACACACAAGTAAGGCCAATACAGAATATTACGTGTATTTGATTCATAGAAGGGTTCATGTATGACATTATACTGATAGCTTTTCTCATAAAAAAGCTTTCATTTAATGAAATAACTTTAATAAAATATAAATACCATTTTTTATTGGCTACTAATGACTAGATTCAAATCGTCTTGTAAATATTAACATACAGTAGTATTATTAACATATACTAACTATTAAACTATTGTAAAAAGAAAAAAAAAAACACCTAATTCAGAAAATATATACCAAAGATTCCGGGTTTGCGGCGTTGGTCTCGTCGTATACAAAACAAACCGTCTAAAACCATAGTCGCTCTTAATTATATTCTCTAATAGGCTGGTTCCTATACAACCGCTCTGTGTTCGTGCATAACTCCTCAAACTGTCCATACATTATTGTGGTGAACTCACGTTTATCCAACTCTGTCACAATATCTTCTGGTTTTTCCTCATGTAAATCACGTGATTGAATCTCGGCTTGTATTCTTTGAAAATAATGGAACTTTAGATGATGGAAATCATGATAAACTCTTGCTCGTACCTGACAAAATCTGCCCAGACGATACGTGCGAGTAGATTTAGAGGTAAGGCAAAAGTCATCTTGGTCATCTTCAGCGGAAGAAGAAGAAGAAGATATTGAGAATGAAGACGAAGTAGTTCCGCACTGAAAAATGTGGGGAAAATTAATTAAGGATTGTAATCGCGTGATTAAGAATATGACAATATATAACTTGCCCGCAAACTGTTCTTGTGATATTTCGGCCCAGATAGAATTACGTTGTAGGTCGACGGCCTCGTGCTCTTACACGCGTCGCAAAACGGATAAGCTTGAATTCGCATTGCACGATAGATAGGATATCGATGGAGGGCTTTCTGTAATAAATTACCATTCGAAATTTTTAGCAAATATTACTTAATTGGCTATCCTTCAAGCTGTATTGTCCATACCTTGAAATAAGATGCCCAAGCAGAACTAGCCACAAGCACGTTCTTGTAACCATCAATTTTTCTCTCTACGGCCTTGACTGATGATGAGAAATATTCATCTATCAAAATAGTGTGTTAAAATATTATTGACAGATAAAATATTTAGGTGGGCAATATACTAATGAAACTAACCTGCCATTAATTCTTCATAACTAAATTTATCAAGATAAACGAGAAACTGAATGAACACTTGAAAATGGTATTTCATGCTCTGCGAACCAGACGAAGTAAATTCAGCTATAAATGGAATGGACAGAGAAATCAGTTCTTTAATGAATTGTCGTGCCTTACTATAATATAATCACTATAAATACGTACCTGGAAAATCTAATCCCGACAAATCAACATTTTCACCTTCTTCGACTACAAAATCGTCCAAATCTTTATACGAGTTCATGTCTAATGGAGCATCTCTATCTTCGGCATTCACAATGTTATTCTGTTCATCAGATTCTTCCTTATCCATTGCCTCTCCCTCTTCGACACCCTCCATATTTTCTTCATCTTCTAGTGTTATACCCTGCTTTCGAGCTATATTAATTTGAGCACGTTAATTTCCATTTAACGAGTTTAAAATGTCTTCGACTGTAGCTTACCTAAAAGTTGTTTGAGATTATCGCTATACTTTGATGTCTTACGACTACGCGTACGTTTTTCCAAAATAACTAAATTAAGACATATAATTAATAAAAGGACGCGCTCAATATTTGACAAGTATACGCTATCACATACCAGAATCGTCCAGATCATACTCTTCCTCTTCGAACCCGCTATTGATAGCCTCTTCATCATTATCTGGCTCAGCCGCCTCACCATTCTCATAATCCTCGTTATCGTTATTCAATACCTTAGGTGTTTCTCCATTCTTCTTTATCCTTTGTACTATGGTTCTTTTTGAATGCTTAGTTGTTGGCTCACACGTATCTTCTGATTCTGATGAATCACCAAAGTGAAACAGATTTTCCGGAGTCGGGGAATAGCCCGAGTCATCGGATAAACTGTCAGTGACAGAGCCGTCGCGTTTGCGTTTACGCGCTAATGGTGCACGGTTGATCAGGAAGGGTTTAAGCACCGGCAAACATAAGAAAATCGGCAAAGATATGATTACAGAAAACAAAACAAACAAGTTACATCGAAAGATTTTGTTCATCGGGTAAAAAATGTTATATACCAACTAGTTTCTTCAGTCGATCGCTATATTCTTGACTGCGTGAAATCCTTTTTGGTTGCGTGCGTCGCGTTGGAGTTTCAAATGCTTTGAACGTTGATATGATAAAGATGTTGAGACATTTAGCCGTTGATCAATTGCTATGAATCCCTTCGATCGATTTCAATGACACTATCAACCCCCAATTATTACATGCACGAATTGAATGTAAGCATGCACACGCGTTAAACATTCCAGGCGTTCTCTGATAGTTTGGAAAGTTTACACGTACGTTCGTGCGGGACTAACTCTGCATTCTGATCATGAACAGTCTCGCTCTCATTTCCCACTTCATCATCATTATATTCATTTTCGGAATCGGTGGTAACAACTAGGTGATGTTTTGTAAGCCTTCTTTTCACTGTAGGACTATCCTGAGGATCTACTACTTCTTCCGACAAGTATATATCTTCATTCTCCTTATTCTTATTTTTATCTCGACTTGGTCGAGGGGGCGTTTCACTGAACATGTAATCATCAATCGAGGTTTGGAATATTCGTGCGCGCCCTGAACGCAGTTTCATTGTCAAGTAATTTTTGCAGTATGTTGGATCAGATTCTCAGAATTATAACGGTATCACGTGGTACATATGATGTCTATACAAATTACGCAATCTCGTGGTTTTTTTTGGTCTTTCGTCCTTGGAAAGGCACGTTTAAAATAAAATGGTATCTCGCGTCAACGTACCCAAAGGTGGATTTAACTTTGACAACTATCAAAGGTGAGTTGTGTTATTTGACATTACTGAAAACTTCTGCGTTTCTGATCATTCCCATCTATCAGAAATTTAATCCTTCAGCAGAATGGATATTCTATGCCAAAGGCCACCAAGACAGGGACGACTATCACTGGAATGAAGTTCAAGGTAATAAATCCGGAACGGGTCGTGCTAGTTACGGGAGAGTGACTGCGAAACAATAAAAGGACTCGTTATTAATGATACCGTGTATAGAACGGTGTAATACTTGGAGCAGACACGCGGGCAACTGGGGAGGCGTTAGTACAGGATAAGAATTGTCCCAAGATTCACCGTATGGCACCCAACATTTTCTGTTGTGGGGCTGGTACCGCAGCTGATGCCGATAAAGTTACGGACATGGTTGCTTCTCAATTAGAATTGCATCGTTTGGCCACGGGAAGAGAATCAAGAGTAACGACTGTCTTGGCTACGCTTTCGCAGTATTTATTCAGGTACTAATTCTCATCGCCAAACAAATATTGAGATAAACCCATGCTAACAATTGGAATTGAATGCCTTAATAGATATCAAGGTCACGTTGCGGCAGCTCTAGTGTTAGGTGGTGTGGATGTTGATGGACCGCAGCTGTTTAGTGTCGCTCCACATGGCAGTACCGATAAACTGCCTTATCTCAGTCAAGGCAGTGGATCCCTATCTGCCATAGCTGTTTTTGAAGAAAGATGGCGAGAAAATATGGAGGTAATATTTCGCTTATTTTTTTCACTTTGCTGTTTTATTTTCTCTGACTTGGTCATTTGCCTTAAACTTATAATAAAGCGTGATGAAGCCATAGAATTGGTTAAGGATTCTATAAAGGCTGGTATATTTAATGATATGGGTTCGGGATTCAACATCGATCTCGTCGTAATAGAGAAAGGCCGTGCCGATTTTTACCGCAACATCGAAACACCCTGTCCAACCATAGAGAAAATTGGAAATTACAAGTTTCAACCTGGAACGACGGGTGAGTGTAATATAATACTGTTCAAATATTAAAAGTATGACTAAAGCGTAACCTGTATTTCGTTAATTGTTTATTTCACTTGCAGCTGTTCTCAGCGAATCATTCAGAAACTTTGTCACAATCACAGAGGGAGATGCTATGGACATTTCATAATAGAATCAACTTTAATCGTATAATTGTTATATATGAGCAAAACATATTCCGAAAAAAGCGTTGTACATTCGCTATGTGAGTTATCGACAATATTTACAATAAATTAACGACCCTCTTACAAAATTCATTATCAGTTGCAACTAGTAGTCTCTGCGAATTCATATTTTGCGCTCTTGCACACTTCATCACGATATTTTACCTCCCTCGTATTGCTTCTCTCAACTCTTGTTCCCTCTTAACCCACTCCATCATAGCGTCGCCGACAGCAACAACTGCATTATCAACCGTTCCAGCTATAGCAGCCACATTATTTACCACAACAGGCTCATATCTATCATATAACTCATTATAAAACTGTGCCAACCATATAACCGGGGTATATATAATACCACTCATATATCTGATTGCTAAAAGAGTATTCTCAATCACCGCACTAGTCGTGCTAAGCATAACATTATAAAAGGCAATGAACAATACAGAAATAACATTGAAAAACGACGAAAGAATATTATACAATGAAATAAATAATGTTTGGATATGACTCCAAGAATATAGAATTAATGCCATCGATAGAGAGAATACCGCCTTCCCCAATTTAAATAATGTTAATGAGCATGGTCTAACCAATCCCACATAAACCATTTCCAAAATTTTATACGCGGGCTTAAGCAATATTACCAATACCATATTAAATATGAAAAAGAGTATATTCTTTATAACAAAATATAACCAATCGCAAACAATCCTTAATCCCGTATACATCGTATACGCGAATTGTAGCATCAAGTCCAAAGTTGCCGGAATGATTCGTATTAACGGAGCCAAAATATTGTGATAAAGCCATAAACCATTGACATATGAGTCGACAGATAGTTCACAGAGAAAAGAGATCGCAGTGTATAAGCCCTGAGACATGTGTCGTTTCATAGAGTATAAGCCTTGAGACACGTGTTGCTTCAGAAAGTATAATGAGTGAGACAAGAGTTGTTTCAAAAAGTATAGAGCAAAGTATAACAGCCGTTGTATAGAGTATAGGGCTTGAGATAACAGCCGTTGTATAGAGTATAGGGCTTGAGATAACAGCCGTTGCATATAGTATAGGGCTCGAGATAACAGCCGTTGTATAGAGTATAGGGCTTGAGATAACAGCCGTTGTATAAAGTATAGGGCTTGAGATAACAGCCGTTGTATAAAGTATAGGGCTTGAGATAACAGCCGTTGTATAAAGTATAGGGCT